CCGAGGGCACTGTGCCATGCTGTAGGTGTGCACTGCAACACCCAGGATCGTCCTTATTTGCTATAACCGCTCACTCTCATCATGCATCTGTCTACTCAAACTCATCTTTTTGTTTGAAACAATTCAACTTCAATGAAAAGAATTGCTACAAGTGTTAGAGGTGGGAAAAATGCAGAGAAGAGAAAGAGACAGACAGGAGGTGCCCAAAAGGGAATCCCATAGCCAACACTCCCACTCCTGTCTATCCACTCGATCCTCACCAGCACAGGTGGCATCGCTATCAGCTGAGTCACTTGTCCAGCTACATCAATAGCAGCACCAGCCACTGGAGCCCTGTGCCTAGCATCTGGGTCCTTGCTCTCAGCTACCGCAGCACACTGAGCACAGAAGGGTGGAGAGAGGTCAAGGTGGAGGAGGGTGGGTCTGGACTAGGGCTGGCAGAGGAAGGCAGGGAGTCGTACTGTGGGCAGTGAGCATAGATCACTAAGAGGACAATGATACCTTCGCCCCTGTAGCAGAGCAGCCCACTGTCGTGGGGAAGATCTCCTTCAACCCCAAGGACGTGCTGGGACGTGGCGCAGGCGGCACTTTTGTTTTCCGGTGAGTGGCAGGGGGCGCCCAGGCTGCAGCTGTATCACTCGCAGCTCTTTTGACAACAACCCAAGGACAAGCATCCTTCCAGACTCCCAGACTTGGGGAGAGATCCCGGCCCTTTCCCTTACCTGCTCTTTGCACCCCCCAACCCTGATGCACCTCTCAGGGGACAGTTTGAGGGACGGGCAGTAGCTGTGAAGAGGCTCCTCCGAGAGTGCTTCAGCTTGGTGCAGCGCGAGGTGCAGCTGCTGCAGGAGTCGGACAGGCACCCCAATGTGCTCCGCTACTTCTGCACCGAGCGTGGCCCCCAGTTCCACTACATTGCCTTGGAGCTCTGCCAGGCCTCCTTGCAAGAGGTGAGATGGGAGCCCAGGAAGGGATGGAGGGAGGGTGGCCTTGGGCTGGTAAGTGACGTTTTTTGTCTCTCCCTCATCTTAGTATGTGGAGAACCCAGACCTAGACCGTTGGGGCCTGGAGCCCACCATGGTGCTCCAGCAGATGATGTCTGGCCTGGCCCACCTACATTCCTTACACATAGGTACCATGTCTTGTTTCCAGTCCTTAGCCCCCTGCTCCTCCCCATCGGCAATCATTCACTCTCCACTTCCTTCCGGCAGTACACCGTGACTTGAAGCCAGGCAACATTCTCATGGCTGGACCTGACAGCCAGGGCCAAGGCAGAGTGGTCATCTCCGACTTTGGCCTCTGCAAGAAGCTACCTGCAGGCCGTTGTAGCTTCAGTCTCCACTCCGGCATTCCTGGCACAGAAGGTTGGATGGCCCCAGAGCTCCTGCAGCTGCCCCCAGACAGCCCCGTGAGTCTGCCCACCAGCCCCAGGGCTCCTTCCTCCATGCCCCAGCTCTCCTCTGAAAGAGGCCCCTCCAAGCCTGCTCATCTATTCCCAGGGGATAATCCACTACCTCTTCCCCAAAGCAATCACCATCAGGGACTGTTCTGCAGCTCAGAGGACATTAGGCAATGTCTGGAGGCATTTTGGCTGGCTTGCCTTGGGGGAAAAAAAAAGTGCCTCTGTCATCCTGTGAGGCCAAGGATGCTGCTGAACATGCCACAGTGTAACGTGCCATAGTACACAGGGCACCACCCACCCTCTGACAGTTTTCTCTTTTGAATCAGTGCCACCCAGGTTGAGAAGACATGACTCAGAAAGCGACTTTGTCGACATGGAGTCTTACTACCTAGTTTAGGCCCGCCTTTTTTTTTTTTTTTTTTTACTTTATTTTATGTACATTGGTGATGGTATCAGATTTCCTGGAACTGGAATTACAGACAGTTGTGAGCTGCCATGTATGTGGTTGCTGGGAATTGAACCCGGGTCCTCTGGAAGAGCAGCCAGTGCTCTTAACCACTGGGCCATCTCTCCAGCCATAGGCCAGTCTTGAATTCTCAACTTTCCCACGTCAGCCTCCTGAGTGCCGGGATTACAGGCATCATGCCAGGCCTAGACATTTAACCTTCACTGTACTTCACCGAGTATGGTGGCTGGGTATGGTGGCCTGCAGTTGCAGCACTGAGGAAGCTGAGGCAGGAGGATTCCCGAGTTCAAGCTACACAGAGATGCTGGCTCTCACCCGTTCTGGCCTAATGAGCTAGGTAGGATGCAATGTCAGTGTAGACCTGGGATTAAGAATATGGGAAATTGGCCGGGCGGTGGTGGCGCACGCCTTTAATCCCAGCACTCGGGAGGCAGAGCCAGGCGGATTGCTGTGAGTTCGAGGCCAGCATGGGCTACCAAGTGAGCTCCAGGAAAGGCGCAAAACTACGCAGAGAAAAACCCTGTCTCGAAAAACCATAAAAAAAAAAAAAAAAAAAAAAAAAGGATATGGGAAATTGAACTAACATCCCAGCAGTACAAAGGACAAAGCAGCACCTGACCCATTGACCCGTGTTGAGTTTCAGACCCCAGGACTCTACATCTGGATTCATGGTGAGTGGGTGGAAGGCTCAACAGAAGAGCCACACCCATTCCTAAAGACAAGAGAAAGAAGTGATCGGGGACTGGAGACCTAAGTGCCCAGGGACTTGACGCTGGTGTTAGGAGCCTGCCTATACAGTATAGTTTTCACATTAGCAGCCAGCATTTTAACATTGGGGAAATCCCTTACACACACACACACACACACAATCTTAAGTTATCAAATTTACTTGGGGGAAAAAGTCAGCTCTTCCATCTTGCCTGTCTCCCGGTGATAACCAGTGGTCAGGCCCATGCTAGGTCACCAGTTTTCACTCTGATCTCGTCTGTGTGTGGCCAGCCTCACTCAGTTCACTCAGTTCCACTACCTGTACCTCCCTACAGGAAGGGAAAATCAGGACCAGAAGCTTGGCAGAGGCAAAGGAAGCATCTGTGAGTCCTGTTTTCAACACTCAGACACACACACACAGACAGACACACATACGCATGCTGCTCTTACAGGGCCCAAAACGTTTTTTAGCAAGGCCCACTTCCTTCTTCTCACGCCCATCTTTCTGGCCCCCAGACCAGCGCTGTGGATATCTTCTCTGCAGGCTGTGTGTTTTATTACGTGCTTTCTGGCGGCAGCCACCCCTTTGGTGAGAGTCTCTACCGCCAGGCCAACATCCTCTCAGGGGATCCCTGTCTGGCTCATCTGGAGGAAGAGACCCATGGTGAGGAAGGGAGAGCCTGGCCAGCAAAGACGGGAGGAAGGCAGCATGAAGCTGAGTGCCTGCCTGTAAACCATCCCTTTTCTGACCTCCAGACAAGGTTGTGGCGTTGGATTTGGTTACAGCCATGCTGAGCCTGCTGCCCCAGGATCGCCCGTCAGCAGGATGGGTGCTGGCCCATCCCCTCTTTTGGAGCAGAGCCAAGGAACTCCAGTTCTTCCAGGTCAGATGGTGATCTTGGGAAGGGCCCCCCAAGCTCCAGGTTTGGGTCCTGTCTTAGTGTTCCATTGCTCTGAGGAGACACCATGACCAAGGCAACTTATAAAGAAGGCATTTAACTGGGGGCCTGCTTACAGTTTCAGAGGGTCAGTCCATTATCTTGGTGGTGTGGTGGCAGGCAAGCATGGTGCTAGAGCCATAGCTGAGAGCTCACATCTAATCCACAAGTTGCAGGCCAAGAAAGGAACCCTGGGCCTGGTGTGGGCTTTTGAAACCTCAAAGCCCATCCCTAGTGACTCGCCTCTTCCAGTAAGGCCACGCCTCCTAATTCTTCCCAAATTGGGAACCAAATATTCAAATACACGAACCTAGGGAAGCCGTTCTCATTCAAACCATCACAAGTTCTGAACAAGAAAAGGGAAGTCAGAGGGGCTGAGGGAAGACAGTCTTAGCACCTTGGACCCCAGCATCTGCATTTGCTTTAGCTTCCCCTGTATGGAAATGCAGTTTTCTCTCATCTGCAGTCATTTATGCTGCAACATCAGTGCAGATTCTGCTTCCGTTTGTGACCTTGGGCAAGGGGCCACCCTTGAGCTGCAGGCTGCCTGCCTACAGAACAGAGGCAACAGTGCTTCCCTTAAGGTGGGTGGTGGCATGGAGGTAGGACACAGGGAAGCCATACTTTCCAGGAGGAAATAGCCCTTGTCATCCCAAGTCAAGGGGCTATTGCTACTTCAACATTAACCACATAACACAACCCTGGCCCTGGGGCCTCTTGATACTGTCCACGAGACTTAGGAGCTCTGTGGGATCCTAGGATGTCAGCGACTGGTTGGAGAAGGAGCCCGAGCAGGGACCCCTTGTGATGGCACTGGAGGCAGGAAGCCACCAGGTGGTCCGGGGAAACTGGCACAATCACATCTCGGCATCACTGCAGACAGGTAGAGGCCACACGTGGGTGGGCCTGAGGGGAAGGGACCCAGTAGGGACACCTCTGCAGCCCATTTCTCTGCCCACAGATCTGAAAAGGTTCCGATCATATAAGGGGTCATCAGTACGAGACCTGCTCCGTGCCATGAGGAATAAGGTGTGTTCTAGAGCCTGGGTGGGACACGGATCAGGGATGGCCTGCCATAGCTGAGCCAGGGTCTTTGTCCTGCCCATCCCCAGAAGCACCACTACAGAGAGCTCCCAACGGAGGTACACCAGACACTAGGACAGCTGCCCGCTGGCTTCATCCAGTACTTCACACACCGCTTCCCACGGCTGCTGCTCCACACTCACCACGCCATGAGGACCTGCGCTTCTGAGAGCCTCTTCATGCCATACTATCCTCCAGCTTTGGATGTCAGGAGGTCCTGCCAGATGCCACAAAGAGCTGAGACAACCCGGGGCCCCAAAGGTGGACCAAGGAGTTAAGCCTGCGGCTCAGTCTGGTCTCAGGAGCGTCAGAAAAGATGAGCAGCAGTTTGGCAGCCTGAGGCTGCTGGAGCAGAGAAATACTCTGGGGTCAGAGCACCCTCAAGAAATACAGGATAAAAAACCAAATGTATATATATTTAATGTATATAAAGCTAAGAAATGGTAGTCCCGAATTCAATAGAAATATCATACAATCCATACAATGGGCTGAGGGCAGGCAAGGGAAGAGGCTGTAAACCCACTCCCAAACATGTACAAAAATAACTTACATAGCAACCCCTTCAAAGGGGGGCACTGCTCCCACCCAGGTCCCAGGGCCAGGGGCACTGAACAGCAGCCCAGGAGCCCGGCAGTGCAGGCCCAGACAGAACTTGCAGAACGAAGGGGCACCAGTCCGAAGGACAGAGGCCTAGGAGGAGGCCTTGAGGCGGTTGCAAGCCGATCGAGAGCTCAGCAGCTTGTCCACCATGGTGCGGGCATAGCGTAGCCGGCTAGCCAGTTCCTTGCAGCAGCCATATTCTTCCAGGAGGCTTAGGCGGTATGTGCGAAAGTCCCTCTTCTCGTCGATGTAGGTCACCGCTGCCATCAGCGGGCACAGGATGAGTTTGGTGTGATCCTAGGAGAGAAGAAGAGAGTGCATGATGAGCTCAGCTGGTGCCGGAGGCTGAGGTAAAGGGGAGGAAGACACCCCAACTGGTGACAGGGGCGGCACTCCTACCCCACCCAGCCACCCCAAGTACAGGCCCCTGTCCCTGCACACCTGGAAGAAGTTGATCTGTACAGTGCCATTGCTGAGGTGCAGGATGATGGCGCTACGTGTGCGGAACCATGTTCGCAGGTAGGGCAGCCGGGCCAGCTCATCACCTTCCCGGGGTGTGATGTTGGCCCCTGCCTTCAGCAGGTGTTCACTCATGTAATTGCGGAAATACTTGAGGAGAGTGATCTGGATGGAAAGTTGGGGTAGGGGTTCCAGAATGAGGGCCTGACCCGGAGGCAGCCCCCGTACCCTGCCACTCCGCCCCTCAGCAGCCAGTCCTTACCTTCTTCATCAAGGAGTTGGGGTGGGAGCTCACGGTGAGGTAGGACTCCGTGCCGTCCCGCTCTATGTACTGGAGGCTGTCACCGTCGTTGTAGAGGATGAGGCGCGTTGAGTCATTAAAGAGCACCCCCACACTGTTGTCACACAGCTGATACCCTAATGGCAGGGGGAGGGCCGTCTCAGAAAGGGGGAGGTGGGCAAAGGCCTGGGTACAGCTCAATAGGAGAGTGCTTGCACACATAAGGCCCTAACAATTCTTGGTAACACACACACACAATTACAGACATCACTCACTTGGTTACTCAAAGGCTACCTACCATGGCCATACCATCTCCTGCCCATCCCAAATTCTGGAGACACCTACCAAGTCCATACTTGTCTGAATAGTCCACCCATTTGCTGACCCAGAAGATGGGGATGCACGCAGGATCCTCAGCCTCCTCTGGGATAGAAATAGAGCACTGGTTAGGCCAATCCCTTCTCCTGTCTTCTTAGGCAGCCTCCTCCAGGGCTGGGGGGTGGGGAGCACCCCCAGGAAGCCTGGGGAGGAGCCTGACAACACAAACCTAAATACCCAAATGGAAAATTGCAGCCCAGGACACCAAGCCCCACTTCATTAAGTGGGCCCCATTTCTGCGTCCCAGGGACTGTGGTAGGTGAGGATAGAAAAGACAAAAAAAACCACCCAGGCTTCTGGCAGGACCCACGTTCCAACCACAGGGATGAAGAGTGATCAAAGTCTCTAAGCTGCTCTGTCATTAGTATTGGGGCTGGGAAAGCCCAGTGCCCCAGACTGAAGTGGTGAAGAAACGGAGCAGGCCCGACAACTCCCGCGACACTAGAACCAACTCAGTGCACGCGAGTCCCTATGGCCACGACACAAACGTGAGGGGAAGAAATGCTATGGAGAATTAAGTCAGGTTGGGAAGTGCTGCAGTGGTGCCAGGGAGGTGACAGGGAGGTGAGGCTGGAGGCTCTCGAGGACCAAGGGAGACAAAAGACGCAGCCATGCAGAGGTGACCTATCAGTCACCTACAGAGTGAGATGGGGCAGAAACAGGCGGAAGGTACGCCAGGGAGGGCCTTGGGTGTCCTGCTAACTCATCTGGACTTTGAGCTATAGGAAAAGGGCGCTCTGCCGATTGAGACGCCCTGCCTCCTCCAGATGTGCAGCCCCTGCGGGACTCACCCTGCCGCACCAGCCCTCGCTCGGAGGGCTTGGAGGCATTGACCCTGGTCAGCTGCTGCAGCATGTCACTGAGGTGGCACTCGATGGCCTCGTTTGTCTCCCGAACCACTGGTTCCTCCTTTTCCCGGGGACGGTCTGGCACGGGGTTCTCCACACCTAAGAAGGAGACACAGTCACTGGCCAGGCACAAAACTGGGGAGGGAGCACACGGCCCGCCACGGCTAGCATTCTTCCCACAGTAGCCATTAGGCATCACTGCTGTGGGGAACTGAGTCAGTACCAGGTTTGTGTGTCAGGTATGTGGTGCTTACTGAGAGGCCACAAAGCTGCAGGTGCTCTAACAGCCTGGCCTTCCAGGACAGCAGCTGTGGCCGTCACTCAGGGAGGCAGCCTGAAGGTACCATTTCAAGCAAAGGTCACAAATGAAGGTCACCTTGTGCTTCCAGGAAGGTGGAAGGATGGGTGAAGCACAGTGTAGCCATTTGCTTTGAAATGAAATACACACTGAAGCATGAAGTTGGCCTTTGGTGGCTGGGGGCATGCTGGTCACTCTTGCTGTCCTTACGCTTGAAAGAGCCATTTCCCCAAACCAGCATGTGTTAGTGTTCCTGTGAAACAGGACATTTCTTAAATTTTCGATTAAAAAACATCAAAAATCCCACCATGCTATATTAAGAATTTAAGGCCGGGCGGTGGTGGTGCACGCCTTTAATCCCAGCACTCGGGAGGCAGAGCCAGGCGGATCTCTGTGAGTTCGAGGCCAGCCTGGGCTACCAAGTGAGTTCCAGGAAAGGCACAAAGCTACACAGAGAAACCCTGTCTCAAAAAACCAAAAAAAAAGAAATTAAGTGTGAAATAAAATATCCAAGATCTAATTTAAAACTAGTCAAAAAGGGGCTGGAGAGATGGCCCAGTCATTAAGAGCACTGGCTATTCTTGCAAAGAACCTGGCTTTGGTTCTCAGCACTCACATGGAGGCTCACAACCACCTGTATCTCCACTTCCAGGGGATCCAACGCCATCTTCTGGTGTCTGTGGTCACCAGGCATGCATGTGATGCACATACACATATGCATGCAAAAGACCCATACACAGTAAAAACAAAATGAGTGTTTGCAGAATACATAAAATCAAGCCTGTCCAAATGTAACTATTGGAAATGGAGGAGGACCACCCCAGGAACACCTAGCACATTATACACTTCTCTACCTTTGGATAAGCTTGGAAAATATAGAATATTTTCTTTGATGCTAGTTTATCAAAACAAACAAACAAACCCCCCTTTGAATAGCAGTATTTTAACACCTCCCTCCATAAGATAGGACTCCTCAAGTCCAGCACTACAGGAAAGGATAACAGAAAATGATCTCGGTGATAATTCCATCAATAGCGTGCTTGTCTAGTGTGAAGCCCTGAATTAACATTCTCAGCTCCTTATAAACTGTCATGGTGGCCCATGCCGGTAATCTTAGCACTCAGGAGATAGAGGCAGAAGAGCAGAAGTTCAAGGTCATCCTTGGCTACTGTGAATTCCAAGCAGCCTGGGTCACATAAGACACTGTCTCAAAAATTAAAAAAAAAAAATTACAGTAATAATTGCTACACCAACACCCATAGGTGGGTGCTAAAATTGGTGGGCGGGCTGGAGAGATGGCGCAAAGGTTAAGAGCACCGACTGTTCTTCCAGAGGTCCTGAGTTCAATTCCCAGCACCCACATGGTGGCTTACAACCATCTGTAATGAGATCTGGCACCCTCTTATGTATACATAATAAATAAATCTTTAAAATTGGTGGGCAATAGCTTTTCAAACAACTTCCTGCAAGATACTTATCAATTACCAAAGACACAGTATCTGCAGCAGAGACAGCCTTGTCTCCCTGAAACAGAGAAGAGCATATCCCCCCTGTAGCATTCTTACTCAGAATGTAGAACCTTTCCTAAATCATGAGGAAGCAACAAATCCAACAGGAAATACTCATTAGCAAGACTTAAGGAAAAACCCAGAGACATAAGGAAAAAGCCCGCTGTCCCAGGCTAGAGGAAACTAAGAAGCCAAGGTCACTAAATGTCATGTGGGGTACTGACTTGCATCATGGTAAGGAAAAGGTGGTGTTAATGGGGAATGTGATTGACGTGAGGGCTAGAGTTCATTGACAGGATTATCTATGGTTGACGTTGTAGCTTTGGTAATTATTCTATGGTAGAGATGCTGACAGTGAAGGAAGCTGAGGGAGGGTACATGGAAAGTCAGCTCTATTTGGTTTGTAACATTTTTGTATAGCCCTAAAATTATTCCAAAATAAACCAAGTCATTGAGTCAGGGGCGAGGAACACATTTGTAATCCCAGCATTTGTGAGTTCAGTGCTAGCCTGAACAACATGGGGCCCTGTCTCCAAGCACCAAACCCAAAATGAAATCATTGCAAGTCATTTGCCTAAAAATGTAAATCTAATTAAAACAGATGAACTGAGAAGTTTATATTAAATTGGTGACATATCACACAGAGAAAGAAAGCCCTTCAAGCTATAACCCTTAATGAAATATATTAAGGAAAACTAAAACTGCAAGAAAAAAAAAAAAGTAATGCTAAATACAGTAGCATACTCCGATAGGTCAAGCAATGGGGGGTGAGGGGGAGCGGTGAGGCAGGAGATTTCCAACCTGAGGCCAGTCTTGGCTTCATAGTCCATTTCAAAAAAAAAAAAAAAAAAAAGGAAGGAGGAATAGTTAAAACAAACAAACAAAAAAGTGTGTTAAATGCAGGCAGAACACTATATACATAGTAAATCTTTAAAAAAGTGCGTTAAAAAAAAGGAATTGTTAAGACAATATGGGATTAGGTTAATGCTCACAGTCCTGAAGGCTGTGCTGCCTCTGTCATGTCTGTTTTCAAGAAGTATACACTGAAGCATTACCAGCAGAGGAAAGCTCCCTCTCACAGTCAAGAAGAGAAACATTTAGGGAACTGATGATGCAAACCTCAAATGAAATGTAAACAGACTGGGAAAGGAGGGTCAGAGGCGTCCTGTTCATTCTTCTACCTATTTATTTTCCAGACAGGGTTTCTCTAACAGCTCTGGCTGTCCTGGAACTAGCTCTGTAGACCAGACTGGCCTCAAACTCACAAACGTACTTTAAGTGAAAACTGACAGACTGCTGGAGTTGGCTGTAGTGACATTTCAAAAGTGAGATGTACTGACAAACTTGCAATCCAGAGCCCTAGGCAGAAGGACTGAGTCAAGAGCAGCCTGGTGACAGTGAGAGACCTTCTCCTGACAGACAAAACACAAGCACTCAAAGGGATAAATTATACAAAGAGTGAGCAGGGTGGCTGAGAATGAGAACTGAGGATGGGTGCCATGTTATACTCCATGTATGTACCTGACAAGTTCCAGTATTCTCAAAAAACCATGCAAGAGAAACACTAGGAACTTTTTCTTTTTTGGATTTAGGAGACAAGGTTTCTCTATGTAACAGTCCTGACTGTCCTGGAAACTCACTCTGTAGACCAGGCTGGCCTGAAACTCAGAGATCCACCTGCCTCAGCTTCCAGAGTGCTGAGATTAAAGGCATGCACCACCACCACCCAGAGATGTTAGGGGTTTTTAAAGGTAATCAAAAAGAATTTCCTGGGCTTCATGTTCATTTATCCATTTTCTCCTTCTTGGGCCCAATGGGTTGACTCAGTCTGTTTTTCCAGCCAAGGGGCAGAAGAGCCCAGGGACCGGACCTCAAGGATAGAACCAAACTCTAGGGGCAGAGTAAGGCGCATGCACCCTGAAAATCTGGGCTCTCTGGGCTCCACCTACTGAGACTGAGCTTTACCTTTATTGAGAACTGTGAGAGGCTTCCTGCTGTTGGGGTCCAGGCTGCTGGGAGCTATTGAAAACCTTGGTGGGATGGTGAGGCAGGTGATGGGCAGACGGGCAGGGATATAGCCAGAAGTGAAGAACTCGTCATCAAGCAACTCGTGAATGGTGGGGCGGGCAGTGGGGTCTGTCTGGAGCATCTTCTGGATGAGGGAGGCAGCCACAGGATTGATGTGCTGGAGGGGAGAGGCAGAGCCTAGGTGAGATGAGGCTGGGACCCCACCTGCCATGCGGTTGCTGTCTCAAATATGCCACAGCTCAGTGGCCATAAGTTCCACCAGGCCCTCCACACTCAGCTTTAGCAAGGACCAATGTCATCCTACTTTGTGGGAAGGATCATTTCCTGCCACTTAGCACTCAATATTAACTTGGGATGATTTCCCCCCACCTTGCCCTTGCAAAGGACATTTATTTACCATCAGAGGGGCATCGGAGAACATAGGCCTCCAGGTCCCCAGACCTATGTTTGAGTCCAGCTATGACAAATAGCCTGGGCTTTCTGGGCTTACCACCGTGTATCTGTAGAATGGGGGAGGAGTACCACACCTGGGACACCACCAGGTGGGATAAAACCTAGCACAGGCCTGTCGGCCACAGCATTAACTCTATGCTGCTTATGTACCAGGAATGTATTCCTGTACATGAATTCATTTGGCCCTCACCAAAACACTTCCCTCTCTATATAATTTGAACTGAAACAGGATCTCACTATGTAGCTGAGGCTGGGACGTTTGATCCTCCTGCCTCAGCCTTACAAATGTTAAGACTACTCCACTATTAGACCTCACTTGTAGATGAAGAAACAGGCTCAGGAGGAAGTGCCCCTGCCTGAGAATACACACGGCACAGGTGATAAAGCCAGGGCATATACCACAGCATATACCACCGGCTCAAGCCAGTCCACGATGTCTGGGGTGAGCTGACTTCCTGTGATATAGTTCCCCTATACACAAATCAAGGACAACTGATTTCAAAGTGGCCGTATGTCCGATGTGGCCCTAGTCCCCAGAAATGGGATGGATATCCCTTCAAATGGATTTATGCCATTGGTTGTGAAAATAGATGTCATTTTGTCATTGGAAGCCCTTGAAAAAACTCCCACTTTGTAAATGGGAAGCCTGGTTCCAAAGTGTCAAGTCACCACCTGTTAAATACAGCTCAGCTGGGCAGAGACGGTCCATGCCCCAAGCTTAAGTGTGTCTGCTCCTATTCCCTCCTTTTCTCCCTGTGCTTTACATCCATTCAGGAAGCTGGGCCTGGGGCTCAGTCGGCTGAGTGCTTGCCTATACGCACAAAGCCATGTTCAGCTCCCAGTATACCATAAGGCCAGCATGGTGCTGCATGCCTATAATCTCAACACTTGGGAGGTAGAGGCAGGAGAATCTGACGTTCAAACTCAACATGCAGTGAGTTCAAGGCCAGCCCTCAGACATACATTCTCCATGGCTATTCTAGAGGCAGGGCTGACTTATCTGTCCCAGGATAGAGCTAGGCTCAGTGAATAGCTTTTGGGTGAGACATAAAATATTTAAACCATTGTGGTGTCATCACCTTGGGAATACTGTATTCGTTTTTCTTGATGCGGAGGTAGGTCTCTTTTAGGCACGAGGTCTCAAAAGGCGGCTTGCCCACTAGCAAGGTATACCTGGAAGCACAAAGAAGGACTTTGCTCACACTCCCAGTGAAGTCCAAATTCTCCCGGAAGTCACTGTCTAGAGGACAGGGGCTGTGCTGGATTCACTGACAGAACAGATGGGGATGATCTCCAAGTCTGCCCAGTGCCACGGGAATCAATGGCTGGGTCAAGCCCTCAATACAAGGCAGGCGACAACACCTGGATTCCCCAGTTCTGGCCTGCAGTAACAGAGGACTCCCCAAGGACCCCAGAGGCCACTGCTATCCACCACAGGCCACCGTGACGAGGCTTCTGCCTACCACGAGCCTTTCAGCTGACCTAACTCTCCCAACGGTGATTCCAAAGCTTTATTAATTAAACCCAGGTTTGGAAGTGAGATTCTACAGTCTAACAAGCCTTCAAAGTGTTGATGGTTTGGGCCTGTGCACACTTTCAGTAAGCAGCAAGGAACTGAAAAAGTGTAGAGACTTTCTCATCCCTTTCCTGGACCATAAGTCCAAGCTACAGGAATCCTACAGCCTACACCAGATTGATAAGAAAATGGGCATTCATGTGGACAGCCTGCTCTCTGAAATGGCCTTTGTTTAAGGAAGAAGGACCCAGAGGGTTAAGGTCAACTGGGTGAAATGCCTCCGAAAGCCCCGCTGAGACCCAATAGCTCCGGAGTCCATCCCCAACTTACATGATGCACCCGATGGACCACACATCCACCTCAAAACTGTGTCCCTTCTTGCTCAGCACCTCGGGAGCTATGTAGTTAGGAGTGCCGCATAAGGTCTTCTTTCGTTCCCCTTCATATTCCACCTTGGTTGCCAGCCCAAAATCCCCTAGGACACAAGGAAGACAGGGTGCTCAGCTGCTAGGTCTGGGCCATCTGTGGTCGCAGACAGCTGCCTCAGGCCTGACCACTGAACCAGTGCCTCGAGACTCCACAGCCTCTGGTCCCTGAACCTGCCCACTGTGCTGGCCCCGGCTGGCCCCCCACTGCCCTTTATAATCCTTAGATAGCAGGGCTAGGGTGGTAAGATGGCTCAGCAGGGAGAGGTGCTTGCCTCTAAGACTGGAGTTGACCCTGGGACCCACACAGTGGAAGGAGAGAACTGACTCCCCAAAGTTACCTTCTATGCCCACCTCCCACACAAATGAAATTTCAAACACACAGGATGGCAGGATTGGATGCACTAGAGAATCAAGTGCACACTCTTCCCGAGTGCCGATGGACACGTTTCAGCAGAGTGACAGGTTCAGGGACCGAGGCAAATCAGAGTCTCAAGGGAACAGGAGCCTTTCAGCTCAGGAGACAGCTGAGGGAAGGCTGCCGCGTTGCTCCACAGCAAACGACCAGACCTCCAGTTTAAAAAGGAAACTGACTACTGAGGACCCGGCTCAGCGCTATGAGATTGAGTATTTGGCGGGAGGCACCCCCAAGGAAACTTATCTTCAAAACTACTGTATTGAGGTACACAAGACAACAAAAACAAAAAACAATGCATCTAAAGGTAAGATGCTGTCTTGTGGGCCCCTCACTTTCCATTTCTGGACTAGAGGGCTTTCTGGAGGACAGCACCTTCATTTCCCACGGGCCTTCCATTTCTCTGGCTCCCATTCTCCCAGATTTCCCCTCCTTACCACCAGGCACCCGCAGGCCCAGCATCTCACCTATTTTCACCTCCAGATCCTCGTTCAGGAAGAGGTTGCCCAGCTTGAGGTCCCTGTGAATGACCTGATTTAGGTGCAGATACTGGCAGCCCAGGACGATCTGCCGCAGGTAGTAGCGAGCCTCAGGCTCGGTCAGCGCTTTCCTCCTCTTGTGCAGCTCCAGGAGGGACTGGGGAAGAAGGAAGAAGTTATGGAAACCAAAGGAAAAGGGTGTCCAGGACTAGGCCCTAGGGAGTAAAGTATGGGAAGAAGTTTCCTGTCCCGACCACCAAACCCCAAATCATCACTCTGAGGCTATATTAATTATAAATGCTCGGCTCAGGTTAGTTACTAGGCTAACTCTTCCACTTAAATTAACCCATATTCCTTGTGTCTTGGCAGGATTCTGATGGTTTTGCCCATACACTGGTCATTATCATTCACAGGACCCTCTCCTGTTAACTCGTACCCTTCCTTACCCAGAGTCTTCTCTCAATCCCTCTCGATCTCCTATCTAGGGGCTTCCTCCCGGCAAGAGACCCTCTCCTTTGAGACAGGGTTTCTCTGTGTAACAGTCTTAGCTGTCCTGAAACTCTTTGTAGACCAGGCTGGCCTCGAACCCGCCGAGATCCATCTGTCCCTGCCTCCCAAGTGCTGGGATTAAAGGTGTGGGCCACCACCACCCGGCGGAGACCCTCTCCTTTTCCTGAAAGCTCTGAGGTCTGACTCCAAACAGCCTCTCTTCCCCCCCACCCCTTCCGACCGCCCGATCCTGTCCCACTCCGGAAGTTCTAGGTCCACGGCAGCAGTAGCCTGGGACCCTTGTTAACTACTTTAAACACCCATTCTCTACACCTGCTCACACCCTTGCGTACAGGAGCCACCGTCCCTAACAGCCACAGGTCCCGGGCTCCGCCTGCCCTGAACCCTGGCCTCAGCACCTCGGAGTGCCACAGAAGCCTTTCCATAATTCCTTGAAACTCCAAGGCGTCGGTGCCCCTCTGTCAGCTAGTTCCCGGTGTGGGCGCCCCAGTCCCGCAGCAGAAACACTCACCCTCCTGCGACAGAGCTCCAAAACCACAAACACAAAATCGCTGTCCTCGAAAAAGCCATGGAAGCCTACGACATGTTGGTGTGCGAGGCTGCGGTGAATGGAGATCTCCATAGACATCTTCTCCTTCTGGTGGGGCTTAAGCAGCAAAGACTTAGGCACGATCTTGCCTGCGAACACCTCCTTTGTGTCTGCGTCTGAGATCTCGAAGCACTTGGCAAAGCCTCCTTTACCCAGAAAGCGGCCCCGTACATACTGGCGCCGGCTGCGCGGGTCCACTAAGACCTCCGGAATCTCTTTCGACAGCGGGGCGGTCACTGGGGCACCGGGAGCTGCATCTCCCGGGACCCCGGCTTTCCCGAGGTCGGCTGGTGCTCGAGCCAGCTTTCCAGCTTTGGCCGCTGCACTCATACTCCTAAATTTGCTCCGCGGACCTGGCCCGGCCGGTGCAGAGGATCTTGCTCTGCTCACCTCCTCCCCGAATTCAAACGCAGCGCTGGGAACGTTACAAGGGCCTGCGCGTTGCTGATTGGCCGCGGGGATTTAAAATACAAACCCGCCCAGCGCGCGGCACCATGGGAGTGCTCCACGGCGCAGCCGCTTTTAAACCTCCGATCTTGCAAGCGAGAAACTTGAGGGGCAGGGACTTGTGGATGGAATGCACGTGGGATATCCTGGGAAAACAGGAACGAATGGGATACGCGGAAATCCCCAGTGGGGAAAGGATTCGGTCCTGCTTTCTGCCCCTCGGCCGGAGAGTGCTCATGTGGTTCACCTGCGTCTCCTCCGGGGGTTTCTCCTGTTAGGACCCTAAAGGTAGCTTGGCAGTGCACCCACCACCTTCGCCCTCGACTGCCCTCTCGCCGGCTAGACCAAATAAACCCAAACTTGAACAAACCCAGAACGCCTGGCAAGCAGATACACCTTCAGAGCGCAGCAGACCCGCCCTCTCTGTGACAATCGCTGCCCCAGCGAGTTGAGTGTAGCTCAAGCGTTCTCCAGAAAAACTCAGGCCAGCATTTTTTTTTTTTTTTTTTCAACACCCGGGAATTGCTTAGGAGGGGCAAGACTTCAAGATTACAAGTTAGGCCAACCTCAGCTACCTGAAACCAACCCCCTACCCCCAAGGGAAAGAAAATTCCCAGGCCCGACCTGCAGGTCGAACAAGACCTTCAGGTGATTCCTATGCACGGTGAAATGTAAGAAGCACTAGATATCCCGACCCGCGATGCAAGAAGTTTGCCTGGCTTGTCCTGAGTTGCATCGCCCAGAGCCACATAGAGAACAGGCAGAGAGAGAGAGAAGGCCAAATCTGCCCAGCAGAGGTATTCTGTTTGGCCTTCATTAGGGGGGAAAAAGATTTAAAACATGTAAAAGGAATGGCCACACAGTGCAGGAATGTGGCTTTCTTTAGGGAAAAAAAAGTCAACTCTGGCAGCTTTTCCCAGACACCCAGCTTGCCCAGTTGCCTGTCCGGCTTCTGTGGAAACTCTGAACACACCGGGAAGTTGCTTGGCACTGAGCCAACTGCTTTTGCCACCCCGGACATGGGAAGAACTGCATACAACATGGACTTTGCATCCAGATAAAAGCTGGCCTGCATTCTGTTCAGCCAGTTTTCTGGTGTGTGGCACTGGGCAAATTTACTCAACTTCTCTGATAATTAGCTTCCTCCTCTGTAAAATGGGCTGTGAAAATCCCTACTTAACTGGCAGTTGAAAGGATTAAATGTTTTCTGCTGAGTGCCTAGCATTCCATGCAGAATAAGAATGATTTCCACTCCCATCTTTTTTTTTCCCCCGTGGTAGTCTGATTATAAAGGTAAGATTTGCTTAATCTTATTTTAAATCTAAAATGTGTCAGAATGCTGTGCACTACAGAGGTTCTACTCGGGGTCTTTCACTTTCTAAAGATAGTCATAGCTGCTGTTTATGGGGTACTGAGAACCAGTGTTTTCCATGTGTGAAGGAACTAAAATCCTCAAAACCACCCTACCCATCTTCTTGCTTTATAGATGGGAGATTTGAGATTCCAAGGGGTCAGATAACAGACTAGTATGTGGAAGAGTGGGAGCTGACCTGCTCACCCCCAGCACCCACTCGTCACCATGACTACTGCCAAAATAAGACCTCTACCAGAGAACTCTAGTTTGTTTCACGGCTTTTTCCCCCGACTAAGCTGTAAGATCCCTAGGAGCAGACTGGCTGCATGTCATTCTCCAGTGCAGGGCCTGGTTCTCTGTGTGGGCTCAGGAAGTATTTAAGTGAACAGGTGGGTGGCTGGTGCTGTCTTCTGCTACAGAGCATGTGGTCAGGGTCCCACCTTCCTCTGCTAATGTGCAACAAGCACACAAGCTGTAAGAAGCACGATGCTGTTGCTAGGCTTCTGTGTTTCAGTGAGCATGGACTGATGACAACTTGTCCAAGGTGACAGGGCATTTGGCTAAGACCAGTTATAAACAGCTAGACTCTTAGCCATGTCCCAGCACTGCCAGTACTATTTTAACATCCTTATAGCTTCATAAAAGCTGCTGGCTGACCTATAGAAGCCAGTTTGTCCAGAAGGGCAGCTGATGCCAGCTAGAACAAGGCTGGAGAACACCCTCTGGGCTCTTACAGGCCATGGTGGTATGCCAAGAAAGACTTTCCTAATTGTCAAGACTTCATTATGGCTAATACTCTAAGGATGTGTTAAGTAGAACAAATAGTTGCCTGATTAATTTCAAACCTACCATAGTATAGATGTACCAATGACTAGGAAAGGAACCATAGCCTTGGGTCCTAAGAGAATTGGTTGATGTATAAGTGACTCATTCAGAAGCCACTACCCATCTGGATAACCATGTAAAACAGAATGGGTCAACAGGACCTTACAGGTCAATCATTCAACCTTGTTCCCAGTCCCTGGATCCCTGCAATGTGAAAGTTATGTGGGCAGGAGTAGGGATGGGAAGAGTATGGCTCATATCCAGGCAAGCATCTACTGTATAAATGCTGGGTAACCCAGGAGCTTACTCCTAGTTCCTCAAGAACTGGAGGCGCGTAACTAGACTACCTAGATGGCTGCCTGGGGACAGAAGGAAGCAGTTCCAGACAGAGAGGCATCCTTGAAATGGCTCTTCGTTGACCACAGCAGAAACCCAACTCCTTCCTCTCTCCTTCCTGTGGCTGGAAAGGTCTTTCCAGTCTACCTTCTCTTCTAATATTCCAAGAACAAAGAGTTTTTCTTCTCTGAAATTATAATTGCCTAGTGACAGGCTGTCCCTGGGGTGAGAGCCACCGTGGAGACAGAGTCCAGCTGGCCTTTCCTAGGATACACACTCTTGACGGTTAGCATACTCTCAAATACTACCAGCACACAATTAAAAAGTAGCTACTGTTTATAGTAGGAACTGTTTTTGTCCTCTCAGTACCTTGAATTGGCAATAGACCCCATTCTCACACTAGGGTCAATCATAGGACCAAACACCATGGGCCACAGTCACTGATCCAAAAGGGCACAGGTCTCACAGTGTAAAGCACTGAGCATTTTCTTTGGGACCTGCCAGGCTAAAACTGGAGTGCCACTGGAATATAATTATAGAAGTCTAGAGCTGTAATCATGTGCCATATCTGTCATATCCCAAATGTACAGAGAAATCTCACATGCAGTACAAGAAAAACAAAGCAAACAAGGCTGCTCAAGGCTGCTTACTGTCTCCTTATGTCCGTTCTCTCTAATATCAGAAAATCCTTCCTAGCCTAGGTCACAGTGAGACCATGTCTACACACACACACACACACACACACACACACACACACACACACACACACACACACCATGACATGTTGCATCAAGTTTGGTCATCCAAATGGAAATTAAGTTGACAGTCTCCCTTAGGTCTAAATTTGAAAAGGTGACAAGCAGGATGCCTAATGACATTAGGTAGCCCAGCCACTTGCGTATCTCTGCACTGTTAGGGGAGTGTGATAGCTACTCTTGGTTGTCAACTTGACTACATTTAGAATTAACTAAAACCCAAATGGCTAGGTACACCTGTGAGGGATTTTTTTCTTTTTAAATTAAACCTTTTGAAGTGGGAAGATCCATTTCTAATCCATTTCTTTGAGATGGGAAGATCCACCTTTAATCTGGACATACCTTCAGCTAGCAGCCTCTGGGGGGGATGTCTTTTTGTATGCTGGGAAAATATGTGTTGCTCTGATTGGTTGATAAATAAAACGATAATTGGCCAGTAGCCAGACAGGAAGTATAGGTGGGATAAGGAGACAAGGAGAATTGGGGGAAGAGGAAGGCTGAGTCAGGAGAGGTCAACCTGCTGTCCAGGGAGCAACATGTAATGGCACACAGGTAAAGCCACAGAACACATGGCGACATATAGATTAACAGAAATGGGCTGAGTTTAAGTGTAAGAGCTAGTCAGTAGTTAGCCTGAGCTAATGGCCAAGCAGTTTTAATTAATATAAGCCTCTGTGTGTTTACTTGGGTCTGAGCAGCTGCAGACAGGATGGGACACAGAAAAACTCCAGCTGTAAGCCTCTATAAAGGACATGTAAGAAGGAAGCATTCTCTCTGCCTGCTCTTGCCCTCACTTTTGATGGCAAGTCCATTCCTTCACTGGCATTAGAGCTGGCTTCCTCAGGATTCCAGTGTATACTGAAGACCAGCTGAGACATCCAGCCTCACGGACTCAGCAGCTTCTAGATCCTTGGACCTTCCATTGGTAGGTAGCCATTGTTGGACTAGCTGTAGCACAGCCTGTAAGCCATTCTAATAAATCACTGACTAGCACAGTGAGAGAACTGTCTCTACTGAGGTCCGGCATCCCTCAAGGCCTCTGTTGCAGCCAGTGGCAGTCTGTCTTTCCACTATGTGAAAAAGATGCAAAAGTGCACTGGCAGGTGCACCTCTGCATGGGACCCTGTAAGAACCTCTGGGAGAGTGCTTCCTAAGCACCAAAAGCTGTCCTTAATATTTACAGTGCCTCGTTTAATCGGCCCTACCTGTCTGAGGTGCTGCCCTTACCTTGCTGCTCACTGGAGGATCCTAAATGCCTTGCCCGCCTGCACACTATGTTGCTGCTTAGACTAGTCTTTTCTAGTGATTTATTACGTAAGGTGATAATCTCTCTCCCTTTATTTGGAGGTCTTGCTGTATAGCCCAGGTTAGTCTCTAACTCACTATATAGTCTCAAATTCACAGCAATCCCCCTGCCTTCAGCCTACATAGTGCCCAAACATGATTGCTTTTTTTTTTTTTTTTGGTTTTTTGAGACAGGGTTTCTCTGTGTAGCTTTGAGCCTTTTCTAGAACTCACTCTGTAGCCCAGGCTGGCCTCAAACTTACAGAGATCCGCCTGGCTCTGCCTCCCAAGTGCTGGGATTAAAGGCGTGCACCACCACCCAGCTCTCAAACATACTTTTTAACTTCAGTTGATTAACAACAAAATGGAGTCAGTTGCAAAAAGTAACAAACTTCCTCTTGGAGGTATTTAAACACAAGCTGGACAGGTAACCTGCCAGACATGCTCTGAAAAATATCTGAAGTTAGCATAGAGAGCATCTAACTGCCAATTCCAACATTCACCTTTTTGGTAACACCAAAGGACAAAGAATCTGGAGCAGGTGCCTTGATATAACTAAGAAAAATCAGAACCATTATAGACTGCTGGTATCAGACAAGACACACAGCAGATGACCTCCAAGGACAAGCTCATTTTGTCTTTACAGGGCAGAGCTGATCAGTGTAGGCTGTGAAGCCAGAGAGTCATGGGGTACTCCTGACTCAGCCAGTTCTTCACTGTACAAATGGCACCAAGTTGTCCAATAGCTCTGAGTTTTATTTCATGTGTTAAATGTGAATAATATGCACCTTACAGTATCAGTGTGAGAAACAAAACAAGCCCATGAACAGAAAGCTTGTAGCGGCCAGGGGGTGGTGGCCCATGGCCAGGCAGTGGAGGCGCACGCCTTTAATCCCAGCACTCAGGAGGCAGAGGCAGAGGCCAGCCTGGTCTCCAAAGCAAGTTCCAGGAAAGGCACAAAGCTACACAGAGAAACCCTGTCTCAAAAAACCAGAAAAAAAAAACCAAAAAACAAACAAACAAAAAAACCCAAAAAACAAGCTTGTAGCATGGATCCAGGTAGTGTAGTGAATCCTAAGGAACAGCAGCTGCAATTACTGGAGGTGGAGAGTGATCATCTTCAAATGTGTGCCATGTGTCAATCTTTTAATGCAACAACGTTAAAAAAATGACAAACAGAAAGCAGTTTTGAAGTGGATTAGAGCTGAATCCTCATAGGTTTTTTAGACTACACCTAGATGTAAGTCAAGATGGCCTCTGTTAAGTCCTATCCTTTAGAGCTGAACTGTTCTGCCACAGTCTCTGAGAGCACTGGTGTACCAAGCCCTTCCTTCCTAAACCAAGGATTCAGAACAGAACCAGGAGGGCTGTGCTATCAACTAGGGGAGCTGGGAAGATGGCACCGGCAATGCCCTTCCTCAGGCTGTGTGTCCTCAGGATGACTTGACAAGCTGCTCAGACACATGTGAGGCTGATCTCAAGTACAGATATTTGGGTCTGAACTATGGGAGTTTTGGCAAATACAAGGCAGGACAAATGCTTCTAGGCTAGAGAGCAAGGTTCACAAAAGCTCATTTCTAGTGAAATAAATCTTGAGACAAGGAATGAGGACCTGAATAAGCCGAACACCCAAGACGTAAACCTGGAACTCTGCAGAAGCAAAATCTGCAATGTTGGTTTCCCCTTTGTAAATAAACGAGCCTAAAACAGGATATTTATATCTTTTATTAACACTTTAAGACAGCTAAGGTCTCTCTGAAATGAAGAACAACAGCTACCACCTGCTTTTTGCATTTTTTTCCTTTTCTTTTACTGATTTGTTTTTGTGGTTTTGAAGCAGGGTCTCATGGAGCACACCAGACAAATGTGAGCTCACGATGTAGCTCTTACTCCTCCGGCCTCTGCATCACAGGTGCTAGGAAGACAGGTATGTGTCACTGCAGCCCATCTCTTTCCCCCATACTGTAAGAGCCAATAGAAACCCGGGCTCTGAAATCACTAACACTTTCCACAGGATACGAGAAATTGTGGCCACTGGTCCTGTGTTAGCAGCAGGATAGCTGAATGTCATCTGTGTGGGTGGTGTGCAGTGGGGGTAGGACATGGTTGTGAGCATACCTGGGCCATGTGACCCCATGCAGGGGGGGTGCTATTGCTCTGCAGGCCCATGCCAGCCAGGTTCCAGCCACCTGCAGGACCACAGGGCTGGAGTGTTGGGAACAGACTTTCTGCCCTCCTCCAACAATGGTGCGGTGACTGTAGACAGATTAGGTGAAAACAGCAGGTAAAGACAACCCCTCCAGATGTCCCCTTGTTAAAATTAAAAAAAGTTCATTATTTTATGTGAAGGGATGTTTGGCTGCATATATGTCTATACCACATGTATATCTGGTACCCAGGGAGGCCAGACCCATGAGATCACCAGGAACTGGAGTTATAGATGGTTGAAGGTGCCATGTGGGTGCTGGGAATTGAACCTGGGTCCTCCGGAAGAGCAGCCAGTACTCTTAACCACAGAGCCATCTCTCCAGCCTTCTTATTAAATTCTTAAATGCTCAGAGCCTTCGAGTATTGAAAAATTCTAAATTAAAAAAAAAATCAAGGAGAGTAGAAGTCATCAAAAACATGGTAGCTTTTGTAGTTACTGACCACTCACTTTATCTCCAAGTTCATCATAGTAGAGTTCAAAAGAATTCAATATATAAAGCAGAGATTAGACTTGTGTTAGGGGCAGAAACTTCTGGTAGTAGCTCTTGGTGACATCAATCATCAGCTCCTGTGTGCACTCTGGGAGCTCCCCTGAGAAGAGTCCTGGGGAAAGAGAGACCAGGTCAAGCAAGGGAGCCAGGAGGTCTGTAGCCCCACCCTTTGTGAAAAGGTTACAATTTCAGAGATCTACTATGAGGATCTAACCGTGAGGTCCTTCATCTTCAGACTGATAAGACTGTTGGCTACTGACACCTTCTGAAAGGTCTGAGTTTGTGTTTGGGAAACAAACACTTATAGCTCTCCAAATTCCAGGTGGAGGAGGTCAGAACACACTTACAAGATAAAAGACTGCTGAGCATCATTCCACACAAGGGTTTCCACCCCCAGGATTCCAGTGTGAGTCCCACTGAGCCAGTCTTACCCTTATCCCTGAGGCAAGAACTGTCCTGCCATTCCTACAGTGAAACTCAGTCCAGCACAATAAAACCAAAGCAACGATACTAAGTGCAGATGAATCAAAGGAGGACAACAGTCCATGATGGAACAAGCATGGTTAAGAATTTCACTCCTAAACTGGGCGTGGTGGCACACGCCTTTAGTCCTAGCACTCAGGAGGCAGAGGCAGGCAGATCTCGGTGAGTTCAAGGACAGCCTGGTCTACACAATGAGTTCCAGGATAGCCAGGGCTATACAGGGAAACCCTGCCTAGAAAAAACGACAACAAAAAGAAAGAACAGTTTTTGAAACAGTGGTAGTACACTGTGCTACCATCTCCACTCACGCAGATTTTGTTTGTTTGGTTTTTTGGTTTGAGAGGGTTTCTCGGGTGATGTCCTTGAACTTACTCTGTAGTTGTTTTGTTTTGTTTTGTTTTGATGTGCATTGGTGTTTTGCATACATTCTTCTGTTAAGGGTGTTGGATCCCCTGGAACTAGAGTTACAGACAATTGTGAGCTGCCATGTGGGTGCTGGGAATTGAACCTGGGTCCTCTGGAAGAATAGCCAGTGCTCTTAACTGATCAGCCATCTTTCTAGCCCCATCATGCACATGTTTTGAAGGACACTTTAAAAATAGCTAGCAAAGGGCTAGAGAGATGCCTTGGCAGCTAAGAACACTGACTGTTCTTGCAGATGTCCAAGGTTTCGGTCCCAGTACCCACATGGCAGCTAACAACCACCTGTAACTCCAGGTCTGGGTGCTGTATGCATGTTGTGCAGAGATATATGCAGGCAAAGACACATAACACATAAAATAAAAATAGCCAGCAAAGTTTTCAACGATCATATCCTGTGGTCCATAAGTCGGCTTCTAAGAATGTATGCCAGAGATAATTGTGCCCAATTGCACAATACATGTAAAAGAATGTCAAGACAGAAGTTTCTAATACTGCCCAGGTACAACTAACTGCTAGTGACCCATTATACTATGGGACTAATTCAATGCTTTGTGTTAAATCTACCTATGCAGTGTGCGAAACCTGTAACCCTTGAGAGGAATGATGTAGTTCTCTATACCACCTGAAAAGTTGCCCAAGGTATATTGCTAAATAACTGATAGTTTCTGAACAGTACAGATTAATAGAGAGCTTGATTTCATTTATATAGGTGCCATTTCAAATACCTACATTTTCCATTCAAACATATTAAGTGCATATATTTTATACATTTATACAAAATGTATTAAGTATATATAAAACAAATAAAAAAAACCTCAAAAAATTCTCATAGACACTCTATAATTAAAAAGTGCATGTTAGTCCTATAAATATGTTTAAACTTCACAGTATTTTTGTTTTGTTTTGTTTGTTTGAGCCAGGGTTTTTATGTAGTCCTGGCTGTCCTAGAACTCACCATGTAGACCAGGCTGGCCTCCAACTCAGAGATCTGCCTGCCTCTGCATGCTAAGTGCTGGAACTAAAGACACGTGCTACCACAACTGGCTCAATTTTTTTTTAAAAAATGTGTATGGATATTTTGCCTGCATGTATGTTTGTGTACCATGTGCATGCCTGGTGCCCAAGAAGTCAGAAGAGGGCTTTGGATCCCCTGGAAGTGGATTTATGGATGGCTGTGAGTTATGTGGTTGCTTAGAATCAAACCCAGATCCTCTGTGAGAGAAACAGTGCTTGTAACAGCTTAGCCGTCTTTCTAGCCCTTAAACTTCACAGTATTTAATCTTTAATCACAGTAATAATTAGACAATTTTAAAATTCAGAGATACCTCATAAAATTCCCATTTGTAGCTGTTCCTTAAACATCAGCTTTCAAGCTTCCAGTGCCATGTCCAGCAGCCATGATGGGCTATGACTTCAATTAGTACATTATCTGCCTGTCTTCAGTAGCATCAGCACTCGAGGTTTCTGATCAGGGTTTATCTTGCTTTCCATTTCTATTTGCTTCAGGCTCAATTTTATCTCATGTAGCTCTCACAAATGTGTCAGATTGCCTGCAAGCCCAAGTGTCTGAATTCAAAGATGGACGTGCCAATAAAGTACCCTAATGCCTGGCATTTATTTTTGAAACTACTCAAAAGAAACACCCTGTCATGGTGCAAGAAGCTTTGGGCTCTAAATGAGGGGTCTTCGACACTGGAGATGCGTACCTTCCAGTCTCAGTTCCCTCATATACAGAGACCTGGATGGTCCCATGCAGCTGGCCTTTTCAAAAGTAGTCATTATGATTTCCACCTGAAATACCAGGATGATTCCTTGTCTTCTGACATTAGTGTTCCATGACCATAAGAAGTTAGTACTAAGGAACTTGAATAAGATAAAAAGATGAGGCACACGTATCTCTAAAGAGATTTTTTTCTTTCCCCTTTGTCCAGTCAGAGCCCAGGCCAAGAAAGAAATGCTTCTTTGTCCTTACCATGTGCTGATGGCAGATTTGTTCCATAGCAACCTTTTTTTCTTCAATGTTATTTATTTACTTTTATATGTATGGGTGTTTTGCCTGCATGTATGTCTGTTTACCTTGTGTGTGCATGGAGACTGCAGAGGCCAGAAAAGGTAGGGGAATCCCCTAGAACTGGAGTTAAAAGTTGAGCTGCCATGTGAGTGCTGGAAATTGAACCCAGGTCCTATGGAAGAGCATCCAGTGACCTTAACCACTGAGCCACCTCTCCAGTCCCTATAGCAACCTTCTTGAGGGGAAACCCTTGAAAGGTATTTGAGAATCTCTCTGCCATGTGTGGATCTAAGGCTTTCTCCTATCCCACAAGTACCACATTTTAAATCACTCTACTATGAGGTCAGCATTTAACACCTGCTGTCTTCTAGCTTGGGTTTCATTTCCTTTTTGTTTCTGATAATTTCCTTTTTTCCTTGTAAATCTAGTTATTCATTCCAAACACAGCTTGTTCACTGGGTGTGATGGTGCACGCCTTTTATCTCAGCATCAGAAGGCACATGCAGGCAGATCTCTTTGAGTTCAAGGGCAGCCTAGGCTACATAGTGAATTCCAGACCAGCCAAGGCTATATAGTGAGACCCCATCACAAAAAAACAAATACTAGCCGTACCAAAAGCAACTTATTTATATGACTTTTCTAGGTGTTTTATTGCTAAATCACATATCAGAGTTAGAAGTCACATGGATTACTTTAGTAATGGAAAACAGTTTGAAGGAGGCTGAAATAGACATTGACATCAACATTACCTGGGCAGCCTGAGAAGACAGTAAATGGTGGGACCACAGTTTCTGGAGGTAATACTGTATTGTCAAGAATTTTGCAGCAGTCTTTCAAGACACACCGGCGCCCCTGAAATTAAAATCTTATTAATAGGAATTGAGCAAGACATGGGAGTAAAGCTTTAGTATTCTGTGTGGAAGGCTGTTCTATATTTTCTCTATTCATTGTATTTTTATGACAGTGTCTCATTATTGTAGCCCTAGTTGGCCTGGAATTTGCTATATAGACCAGGCTGGCCTCGAACACAGAGATCTGTTTGCTTCTACCTCCAGAGTACTAGGATTAATGCCGAGCACCGCCACACCCAAGCAATAGCAAGGGAGCCAAGGACAATGACAGGGTGTTTGGCTGAAATTACAGACTTTAAGTAGAATATGACAAGGAGTAAAGGGTGAGTGTGTGTATGCATAGGTACACACGAGGGAGGGTTGTATGCTCCAGATAGTACAGGTTGTCTTAGGCATTAGACACTAGGCAAACCTTTGACTTGTGAGAGTTCCATTTTTCTGTCTTCTGGTAACAGAAATCTTTTTGCACTGGGCACTACCCACCCCATCTTGGTCCACATACTTTACTTCTAGCTCACACATAGACTCCATGCCTGACCAGTGACTGGTTTGAGGAAGTGGCATATGAGCCAACTAGGTCTAGTGAACCTCCACTTTGGGTTTCCACTGGGAAGACAGGGAAATGAAACACTTTCCAGGAGAGTTCCCAGAAGACAGGACGGATGCCAACAGCACCTTATCCCTGCCAGGAAGTGACCTCCAGAGGAAGGAGGAAAGGGACAAAGGCTTATTTCATGGGATCAGATGAACCTTTGGATCACGTGGGCATGAAATTAGGATCTACTTCTGGACTCTCAGTTTATATTAGCTAATCTAATACATCTGGTTGGGCACCTGCCAGGTTAAGGACTATTTGTCTGTTCTCTGGACAAATCTTCTTTCTTTTTTAAATTTTTATTTTTATTTTTCGAGACAAGGTTTCTCTGTGTAACAGCCCTACCTGTCCTGGAACTCGATTTGTAGACCAGGTTGACTTCAAACTCAGAGAGATCCACCTGCCTCTGCCTCCTAAGTACTGGGATTAAGAGCATGCACCACTACCACCGGGTCCTGACGAATTTTCTTGAGTAGAAGTTATTAGTCAATTTGTTTTTCCACAGGAGATAGCTATTTGAATATTTGGACTAAACCTTATGTTTAACTTTATACATTTTCTTAATTCTTCCATAATCCACAGCATTTTAAAGGTGAGCGATATGGCATGGGAAACTCATTTATTTGTTAGGTGAAGGGAAAAGCTATACACACTGTTTAAACCTATGCCTTAGGTTACTCACCCGAGCAGAGCAAAATTTACTCTTTTTTTTTTGTTGTTTGTTTTGCTTTGTTTTTCAAGACAGGGTTTCTCTGTGTGGCCCTGGCTATCCTGGAACCCACTCTGTAGACCAGTCCGACCTCGAACTCTGAGGTCCGCCTGCCTCTGCCTCCCAAGTGCTGGGATTAAAAGCCTATGCCAACAGTGCCCAGCTCAAAGTTTCACTGTTTATTAACTATTTTTTAAATTGTGTGTGTGAGAGTGCTTATCCATGCATACCCATGTGGAGGTCACAAGTTGTTTTCTTTTCTTTTTTTTTTTTTGTAGTCAGGAAAGTGGTAATTTTCAACCTTATTTTTTGAGACAGGATCTTTCACTGAGCCTAGAACTTAATGTTCTGGCTAGACTACCTGACCAATGAGCCCCCAGAACTGTCTCCACCTTTCTCCAGCACTGGGGTTACAGGCATGTGCTACTATGTCCAACTTTTATATAGGTGCTGGAAACTTAATCTCAGATCATTTGCCTTACACAGAAAACACTACCCACTAAGTCAGCTCCTTAAAGCTGTCTTTACTAGGGCTTGAAAGTTCATCTGTGTCCTGATAAAAACAATTTGATAAACATCTGGGTAGTAAAACACAGATAGGATAAATGAGATTAGACAATCTGATGAAAAATATCTGGCTGAGAATGTAGAAATGTAAACAGGCAGTGCTCTTAACTGCTGAGCCATATCTCTAGCTTCCCTAAATGAATTTTTAAAAAAGCTTCTACTTTAATCTCAGCACTCAGGAAGCACATGCAAGCTGGTCTTTGTAAGTTCCAGGTCGGCCTGGTCTACAGAGTTCCAGGCCAGCTACTAATGAGACCCTATCTCAAAACAAAAACAAAACCCAAGGAGCTACAGAGATGGCTCAATTGTTAAGAGCACTGGATTCTCTGCCAAAGGACCCAGATTTGATTCCCAGCACCCACAAGGTGGTTCACATCAGTCTGAAACTCTAGTTCTAGCAAATTTTACACCCTCTTCTGACCTCTGCAGTCACCTAGGAGGCATGCAATGCATAAATAGACATGCAGACAAAATACCCACACATATAAAATATATATGTGGTTTTTAGAGAGAGGGTTTCTCTGTGTAACAGCCCTGACTGTCCTGGAACTTGCTTTGTAGACCAGGCTGGCCTCAAACTCCCAGAGATCCACCTGCCTCTACCCACTTCCTCTCCCCCAGTACTGGGATTAAAGGCAAACACCACCACACCCAGCTAAATGAAGAAGAAGAAGAAGAAGAAGAAGAAGAAGAAGAAGAAGAAGAAGAAGAAGAAGAAGAAGAAGAAGAAGAAGAAGAAGAAGAAGAAAGGAGGAAGAAGAAGGAGGAAGGAGGAAGGAGGAAGGAGGAAGAAGGAAGAAGGAAGAAGGAAGAAGGAAGAAGAGGAAGAGGAAGAGGAAGAAGAAGAAGAAGAAGAAGAAGAAGGAGGAAGGAGGAAGGAGGAAGGAGGAAGGAGGAAGAAGGAAGAAGGAAGAAGAGGAAGAGGAAGAGGAAGAGGAAGAGGAAGAGGAAGAAGAAGGAAGAAGGAGGAAGGAGGAAGGAGGAAGGAGGAAGGAGGAAGGAGGAAGAAGGAAGAAGGAAGAAGGAAGAAGGAAGAAGGAAGAAGGAAGAAGAGGAAGAGGAAGAAGAAGAAGAAGGAAGAAGGAAGAAGAAGGAAGAAGGAAGAAGAAGAAGGAAGAAGGAAGAAGGAAGAAGAAGGAAGAAGGAAGAAGGAAGAAGAAGGAAGAAGAAGGAAGAAGGAAGAAGAGGAAGAGGAAGAGGAAGAGGAAGAGGAAGAAGAAGGAAGAGGAAGAAGAAGAAGAAGAAGAAGAAGAAGAAGAAGGAAGAAGGAAGAAGAAGGAAGAAGGAAGAAGGAAGAAGAAGGAAGAAGGAAGAAGGAAGAAGAGGAAGAGGAAGAGGAAGAAGAAGAGGAAGAGGAAGAGGAAGAAGAAGAGGAAGAAGAAGGAAGAGGAAGAAGAAGAAGAAGGAAGAAGAAGAAGAAGAAGAAGAAGAAGAAGGAAGAAGGAAGAAGAGGAAGAGGAAGAGGAGG